GCCGTGATAAATTAAATTTCTCCTGGAAAGATGTTCCAGAGCCGAAGTGCCGTGAGTAGGCACGTGGTTCCTGGTTCACAGAGGAGACTCTTATTCGTAACTTCTGTCCACCACGAGGGCGTGGTAGGTTTGTTTGTAGATTGCCTTTTTGGTGGGTGGAGGCTTTCTGGTTTACTCTTTCACTAAAGGTGTATCCCTTTCCAGAATCTTGGTTTATGAGTCTTGGGTTCATCTCCCCTGTGTGCGGTGGACTCAAAGTGTAGTCTTCAGCTCCGTGAAGTTCTTTAACCTCCCAGGTCTCAGCATTAGTGTGAGCCCTAAGGGCAGCTCCAATTCCAACACCCCAATTTGCACTTACTTCCTTGGGTGTTTTTCATCTGGGGAAATCCTTTTTTTTTTTTTAATTTAATTTTAATATGTTATGTTAGTCACCACACAATACATCATTAGTTTTTGATGTAGCGTTCCACGATCCATTGTTTTCGTATAACACCAAGTGCTCCGTGCAGTACGTGCCCTCCTTAATACCCATCACCGGGCTAACCCATCCCTCCATCCCCCTCCCCTCTAAAACCCTCAGTTTGTTTCTTGGAGTCCATAGTCTCTCATGGTTCGTCTCCCCCTCCGATTTCCCCCCCTTCATTTTTCCCTTCCTTTTCCTAATGTCCTCCATGCTATTCCTTATGTTCCCAGCAGCAATGTCCGCAATAGCCAAACTGTGGAAAGAGCCGAGATGTACTTCCTTGTTTTGAAGGGGCGCTTGGGAAGTTCCCTTACTTCTTGAAAAGTTAGCGATGGTTTTAAGATCGCATTTGTAATAACGTATCTGGAATGTAGCCGCCTTGTAGTGGCAGGGCTCTAGGTAAAGCCTAGGGCCCCAGCCTGCCAGAGGGGATGTCAGGAAGACCGGTTTTCTTTCTTTCATTTACTCATTCATTCATTTGTTCAAAGCTCTTCATTGAGCAACTCTGTGTGCCCGCTAGCGTTTTGATGATAAACAAAAACAGACAAGGTCTCTGCTTCACGGAGTTCATAGCTTAGAGGAAAGACAATTATCATAAAGGAATCACACACACAAAAGCCTGTGATTCCAGATGAAGTGGGGATTACGTGAGAGCACAGTGGTTCTCAAACTGCGACCCACACCGGCAGCATCAGTAGGAACCTAGGAAAGCACAGATTCTTGGAGTTTCCTCAGACCTACTGCCTCAGAAACCCCAGCATGGGGCCCAGTAATCTGTATTTGAACAAGCTTCCCAGGTGATTCTAAACCACTGGGATAAGCCAAAAGAACTTGACCTAGACAGAGGGGCTGAGGAGAGCTTCCCTAAGGAAGTGGTGATGACAGCAGAAGGATGAGTGGGAGGTGCACAGGCAGTGAGAACTGTACATGCAAATGGCCTGTGGTGAGAGGGAACGTGGTTGTTTAAGGAACCAAGAGAAGGTGAATGTCCGAGGGCCTTGAAGGTTGTAGAAGGAGCTTGCCCTGATTCCTCAGAGTAATGGAAAGCCATCAAGAGGGACAAGGAGAGTAGGAGAAAGTTGAGTTATTTGTCCAGATTCAGGACAGGACCAGGGCTGTGGCTTTAGGACTGAGAAAGAGGGAGTGAGTCTTAGAAAACTTTGGGAGCAGGGTTAGCAGGAGCTGGGGACTCCTTTGCTGTGGGAGGAGGGGAGCTTCTCTGAGACCTCTGGCCTGAGGACATTCCTGGGTCACAGAGCACTGACTTCAGCAGAAGCAGGCTGGCGGGGAACGGGAGGCGCTTTTGGGACGCTCAAGGATGCGTGACCAGAGACAGCCAGCAGTGGTCAGGCTGGAAACGCCAACGAAATCACATTTGCAAAGTGCATCCCCACGGCTCAGCTGTTTAGTGAGTCTGGAAGAAGTGATTTAAGCCAGAATCGTCCCACGGTGTGTCATTTCTCCCTATCCCTGCTCGCATGGAGTCCACATCAGTTAGCTTCCTGTAATTTCTCCTACTGTGATCGCTGCTATAAAAATAAGTGTCACGTTTGACAGCACGAAAACCAGCGAGATGTTTTTCACGTTTGCCCAAGTCACAGGCTCCCTATGTGCAAGGCTCAGACACCAGCCCCATTGTCAACCTCAAAGCAAGTGCATTTGCTATTTGGTTCTTAGGGATTCCTTCGATCTCAGTGAGCTCTCAAAAAGAATGATGACCTCTAACAACATGTTAATTCCTTGAGGAATTTAACATGAGTATTATGAGACCCTGCTGATGTAAAAACACGTGCCTTCTATTTATTTATTTTTAAAGATTTTATTTATTTATTTGACAGAGACAGAGAGAGCACACAAGCGGGGGAGGGGCAGAGGGAGAGGGAGAAGCAGGCTCCCCGCCGCTGAGCAGGGAGCCCGTCGCAGGCTCGATCCCAAGACCCTGGGATCATGACCTGAGCCAAAGGCAGGCACTTACCTGACTGAGCCACTCAGGTGCCCCTCAGCTCAGGTCTTGAATTCAGGGTTGTGAGTTCAGACCCCATGTTGGGCTCCACGCTAGGTGTGGAGCCTAAAGAAAAAGAAAAAACAACTCCTTGGCCACTTCCTGCCTGATCTTTAACCCTCACGTCACTCCAGCTCTGTTCTGATGCCCTGCTAGCAGCCCTCAGCACCGCAGCGGAAGGAGCGGCCCCGCGGGAGGCCTGCCTTCTCTCTGGTTCTAAGTGAGCAGCTAGAGGAGAGGAGCTCCAGCCCCCAGAGACACCTCTGAAAAGAACCAGATAGGCAAAACGGACAGGACAGAGGCAGGCTTGTGGGCATAATCACTCCCCCAGAAGAGGATTTAACTAAAGCCAAATCAAAAAAGGATTTTTAAAGTTATTCTCCTGCTGACTGGTAACATGACTCATGGCAAACTACAGAGGGCCACCCTGACCCCCTGCTCCCTTCTGGCCCACTTATAAGCACCACCTCCTCTTCACAGGCACCCACTGCCCCCCCCGCCCCCCGCCGTGCCCCCAACGACCGTCGGACCATCACTGCCGTATCCAGCCCCAGATGCCTGGTGCCACAGACCACAGAGGAGTCACCCCCGACCTGGAAGCCCGCAGACCCCTACCTACTGCATCAGTAAGGGCGAGGCGAACTATCGCAGCAAGGAGATGCCAGGGCGCGGCAGCCTGGTGGGGGGGGGGGTCAGACGGGCTGTGCTCCCCGGCACCCAGGCTCCTGGCTGACCTACGTGCAAGGGCCTTGGGGGTCAACACTTCCGGCCAAGAGTGAGGCACCTCCTCGAAGGCAAGAGACAGGTAATTTGCATGCATTACACATTTCTCCATCTAAAGCCCAAGCACGGGGCCCAGTGAGCTCTGAGGGAGGTTAGGAAGCCGAGCCCGAGTCCAGGCCACGGGCCCTGCAGCCACACTGTGACAGTGGAGGAAGGGGGGCACGATTCGGGGGCCACCCGCCGTCGGCAGCCCACGATCCAGTGAAGGAAAGCCCTGGCGAGCACAGGGGGGCTAATGCCATCAGGCCTAGCGCGGCTGCGTTTGAACTTTGGTGGGAGACTGTCTCAGGCCCCAGGTGGAGCAGAGCAGCTGAGTAACTGTGCTCTGGAGCTGGAGGCTCAGATGCGTCCAGAATGTGTGGCGTTCTGGCTGTGTGATCTTGGACAAGGTAAACACTGTCTCTGAGCTGAGGCTGTGATAATAGCTGTAACGTTATAAACTGTGATAATATGGTGACGTGTTGTTGTTTTTTTTTAAGATTTTATTTTTTTAAGTAATCTCTGCACCCAATGTGGGGCTCGAACTTACAACCTTGAGATCACGAGTCTCACGCTCCACCGAAGGAGCCGGCCAGGTGCCCCCATTGTGATGGTTTTTAGAGGGAGCCCCCAGTAAATGGCAAGAATTCCGGGCATTCAGGTCACCATGAGGTGGGCCCAGGTTGATCTCAGACCAGATCGGGACATTAGTGGGTACAAACTCAGCTCAGCTTTATTGCCAATTAAGTAAACCTTCTTAGCCAGCTTGAAATTGCCACTTAGCAATTGGGGTGGGTAAAGAAAACAAGGACCATCAGGGATGGTGGGCCGGGAGACACCCCCGGGGGGAGTGGCCCCCGACTTCTGGCACTCCGAGAGACTCCGAGAGGGGCCAGGCAGGCAAAACCTCTCAGTGGAAAGATGGGGGACAGGACCAAGGAAGCAGGTGTGATGGCTGGAGTGGGGGAACAGACCAGAAGCCTGACCCCTGACCTCAAGGAGCTCCCTGTGTCACGGGGTCAGGTTGAGAAGTGAATCAACAACCGTGGCAAAGCACGGGGCGGGGTGGGGAGGGGGCTGTGATCAAGGCCACATGTGGGGGATGTGGGAGGGAAGGGGTTGGGGGTGGTATGAAAACCCCACAGCCAGTGGGGGACAAGGGGGACTCCCTTGCCTGCCAGGAACAACTCCGGGGGACAGTGCTCAGCCTGGGCCGAGGAGCGGGCTTAGCCAAGGGGTGATGGAGTCACCCTGGGGGTGCCGCCCTCTACTGGGCAGGAGGGAATGAAGAACAGCCCAGCCTGTGCTCCCCACGCAGGGCTGGAGGTGGGGGAGGTGGGGCTTCTTCTCACAGGCCAAGGGAGCCACTGAAGGATTCTGGACCAGCAGGAGACAGAAGACTGCTCTCCAGGAGGGTCGTGCGGGGAGCGGTTTGGAAGGAGGCGAGGTGGGGGGCGGTGAGGACCGTTGCTGGAATCCAGGGGGTGGCTAGCACCCAGGAGTGCAGGCCCTGAGAGCTCTCTGAGGGGTGAAGTCACGGGCGGGGGCCGGAATGTCACCAGCACCAGGGGCCCGTGAGTGTGTTTCACAGACTCGGGGAGCACGGGTGCCAGGGCCGAGGGCTGCTGGGAGGCTGAAGCCAGCCCTGTGTTCCCGAGGCCAGGACCCCGGTCCTCCTGCCCCCCACAGCTGCGTGCCCATAAGGAAGGGCCGGGCCTCTCGAATGGCAAAGGCAAGCTGGTGCTTTCCCCTTATTCTCCCATCGGGGCGGTCGGGCGGGGGTCTGGCGGGGGAGCTGCAGCCACGACCTGGCCACGCTCATCCCCACCAGCGCAGGAGGTCCTCGTAGCTGAGGAAGGTGACAGCGTTGACAGGAAAGGCACGGGCGCTGTTGATCGTAAGCCCCCGGCAGAAGACCCCCAGTCCTTCCTGCCGGACACTGCTTGCCATGCAGTCCAGCACCCCCCGGTACACCCTGTGCTTCAGCCCGGCCATCTGCATCCGGGACTTGATCACGTCCAAGGGGGTGGCCACGGCCCAGGAGACGATGCCTGCGAAGCCCCCTGCCGCCAGCACTGTGGCTGAGCCGGGGGCAGAGGAAGCCCAGGTGGTGTCAGACCGAGGAGCAGAGCGCCCCCACCCCATCCCTAGGGTCCCTCCCCCATCCTCCAGGGCAAGGGCCAGCTCCCCTCCCCCACTCCTGTCTGTCCCCCCCCCCCGCTCACACGCCCCCCTTACTGGGGTTCTGGCCGCCCGGCGTGGACTGGTGGCACAGCCACTCATAGGTAACAAAATAGATGCCCAGCGTGGGGGTGTCCCTCAGCGTCAGGGCCCAGGCTCCCCGGAAGAGCCCCCGGGGCCCCTCCTCCTGGCAGATGGAGACCGCACAGTGCACAGGCCCCCGGTACCGGGGCGGGGGGCTGCCCGGCCGCGCCCTCGGCTCTGTCTGGTTTTGTAGCCGGACTTTGATGAGGTCAAAAGGGGCCAAGCAGTAGACCTGTAGGGAAGGAAGCACGGAGAGCCTGGGCGGGGCTCCGGGCCAGCTCGGCGGCCCACCCTAACAAGAGGAAGGTGGTGGGCAGAGAGGGCCGCATCTGCCCGCGGGGCCAAGCACAGGCCAGGCCACTGCCCTTAGCATCTGCCCCGACGGCCGGCGGCACTGCCCGTCTCCTTGGGCAACAGCACTGAACTTGCCTGGCCCGTGCATGGAGCTCAGAAACAACCCTGCATTGTTTCTCCAAGACGGGGGGTAGGTTCTAGCCCCCCGGAAGCCAGGGGTGGGCACGCACCTGCGGTGACAGGGTCTGAAGAAAGGATTCAGTCTGTGCCCGTGAGATAGGTCTGACTCCTCCCCACAGTGAAGGAGGTCACCTCAGTCCTGTTGGGGACTCAACTTCATAGAGTCTCGCTCCCCCCACTTCCTGCGAGACACCTCTCAGAGGCCCCTGAGGGAGTCAAGCGCTGGGCCAGCCTTTCCTGCCTCCCACAAACCCCCAACTACTAGGGTCCCAACAGAAGGTGGGTGATGGTGGGATCTGTGTCCCAGGACTCTTATCACCCGGCTGAGGCAGAAGGGACAAACATTTGGGGTAGTATTAGGACTGAGGGTGGTTCTGGGTGGAGGCGGAGGGAAGCTGGGGCCCGGGGCTAATGTGAGGGTCATGGATGCACTAAGGTCAAGGTCAGCTGTTAAAGTTCGGATGAGAATTGAGGTCAAGCTGAGGTTAGCGTGTCGTGAGGGGTTTCTGTGGGTTCTGTTTCTTTTGCGGAAAGTACACGAGCTTAGTCCCTCAGCCCTGGAAGCTGGCTCTGGCGATGATGTTCCAAGGGCGGCGGGCCAACTTTGCTTACTTCCTCCCCGGCTGGAAGGATGGTGCTCTGGGCTCCCTCCCTATAAGGCGGGATCCTGATGTCATCCTTCAGAGCCTGCGGGCAGTGCCAAGCTCAGGGCTTCTCCCGGGGACGTGACCCTGAGCCCAGGGCTCCCGACGGTGAGCAAATGGCTGAGCCAAAGGTAGGGTGGCTAGCAGGGGCAGGTTAGGGCCCCCCGGCTCCCCCATCCTGCCCGCGGGCGCGGTGGGGATGGCACACAATGCCAATGTTTGACAGCGTCAGGCTTTCTGAGCCAAAAGCAACTTCTGTGCCCATCACAGGTTGTCATTCCCTGCCCTGGGCTGGCCAGAGTCACATCCTGCCTCTTCCTCCCCGTCTCCACACTAAAACACAATTTCTGCTCCCAGACCTGTTCAGCCGAATCCATGAGCTTGATGGCAAACCGGGTTCCTGTTGGTCCTTGAACCCAATCCCCATCCGTGACCCTACAGTCCCCAGTTCTGCTATCTGTCCGGCTTTGCAATGAGCTGGAGGGGAGGGTGACTTAGGAGCTGGGCCTGGCTGGGCCGGCCACTAGCATGGAGTCTCAGTTTGCTTCCTTGTTTTGGTGGGGTGCAGGTCTCAGGGCTGGGGAAATATGCAAGCATGTGCCCTGTACAAGAAGGGGCAGAAGAAAAGCCAGGACCTTTTGGGGGTCTCATGAATCATTAATTCACTGGAGTGAGCCATCTGATTCTGTCCTTTGTCCTTGCTCTCTGCCCCAGAAAGTGTGTTAGGGGCATCAGGGCAGGTGCCAAATAGAGGGTGACCTCAGGCGCCTGGCTGGGGTGTGGGGTGGAGCCAGAAACGGGCCCCTCCGCCTCTATGCTCACACCCCTCAATCAGCTGGGGCTCCCCCTGGTGCCTGGAGGCCCCTCTTTCCTCCACCCCACCAATCAAAAGCCAGATACTTAAGTGCTGAGAACAAAGACCAAAACTAAACGATGGGAGCTATTTAATGATTAATACCCTGGGTCTCTCCCAGCGAGATCTGTGGACTGGGGCCTGGTGAGGCTGCAGGCAAAGGGGCTGAGCAGGGTGTGAGCTGGAGGGGTGCCAGGACCACACCAGGACTGGAGGGGCTGGGCTCGGGGCTCCGGCAGGGCAATAGGTCCCCCGGGACAGGACTGAGGCTGGCGGATCCCTCCGGAGGTCTGTGTGTGTGTGCTTGATAGCACTGTGTACGCATGCCCCCGCACCTGCCCCTCACCTGCACGAACCCTCCAGTGCAGCCAGCTATGAAGACATGCGTGTAGCTGGGTGGCTGGGCCCGCCGCTCCTGGTGGGAGGTCGCTGTGAGTGCCAGCAGCGTGTTGCTGTAGACCCCGAACAGGACGGAGTTGACCACAGCTATGCTCGCAATGGGGAAGCTCATTCCCTTGAAAAAGCCCAGAAGCTGTAGAAAGACATGGCGACCCTAGGGCAAAGGGGGCCTCCTCTTTGCCCTTCCCATCCCTGGCAGGGTCTCCTCTGGCCGGAAACCACTCCTGAGCCCTGCCGAAGGGAGGCTGAGGCAGGCTGAGGCTGGGGACAGCCTCAGGTCCATCCTTGGGGCACTGAGCTACCACCCAGCCCCCAGGAGGCCCCGACTTTGGTCTTCTCTCTTCCAGCGGCAGAGAGCCCTGCCGGGGAGAAGAAAACTGCTGCTGACCACCCAGATGCCTCCCATGCCAAAGCCCCAAAGAAGCAAGACACCCACCGACTCATGGCGGTAAGTCTTAACCATACAATCGATGATGCCCCGGTATGTGGTCTGGGTCTGTAACCGCACCTTGGTGAGGAGGACAGAGCAGGCAGCCCAGCAGGGACGGGCAGGGATGGCTCCAGCCCCGTTCCTCCCTCTGCCCAGCAGGATGCCAGCAGGGCAGGATTGATAGGAAAGATCCCCATCAGCCAGGCCCTGCTCTCAAGGCATCCTGCCATCTGGTTCAGGTGACATCCTTCATTCCTTGGGTGCCTCCCCTCGACTCACCTTTACAGTGTCAAAAGGGTGTCCCAGGACCAAGCCCAGAGCTCCTGCGTGATAAGAAGATGCTATAAGTGAGGCCCCTTGCGCCTGTCTGAGGAGAGGGGGATTCGGGCAGGAGAAAATGAGGCCAGGCCTTCCCGCCAGACTCCAAAGAAACTCCCTTTGCATCCTCCTCCACACCAAGCGCTGGGCTAGGAAGGTGTGGGGACAAGGGGACCATGGAGAGGGCCTTGGCCGTGCGCAGAGGACACCCAGGCAGAAGGGAGGAGCCAGCCCCAGACGCGGTGTCCTCACAGAGTCCAGCACTGACCGTCCTGCTTGCTTACCCAACTGTGGGACCGTGGGACAGATTCTCCAGTGCTCCTGCCTGCCTGCCCGACTCCTTCCTTCCTTCCACGCATGACTGCTGTTGAGTACGGGGCCTTGATCCAGACCAGGCCCTGCCCTCCCAGCACTCTCCCCCCTCAGCCAGCAGTACGGAGCTGGGGGCCCTACGGGCAGTCTTGCTGGCACCCGGGGAGGAGAGCCCAGCCCCCAGGCCACCTCCCCACCTTCCGATCTTGCCCTCCATAGCCGTGCTGGCCCTGGAGTCTTGGGCGAGGTCACAGCCCCAGGAGGCAGGTTTGGAATGACCCTCTCATTCTTCTGAGAGAACTGTCAGCCAGAAGCTGGGCTGGGTCCACAACACAGCAGGCCTCCGCGCCAGGACATGCAGCCCATCGCCGGGTCGGGCAGAGGCCCTGAGGGGAATGCAGGACAGCTGCTGGGGTCAACAGTGGAATTGCTTTCTGAGCCCCACAGGGTGGGCCTAGAGAGTGGGGTTCACGGCGAAGGTCTGCAGGTGTGTCTGGGAGAGGGCTCACCTTGGCCCTGCAGGTGAGGACAGCGTGGCTTAGGGACCTGCACCTTCCTCCCCGCGCCCCTGAGGCAACTGCCAGGAGGCATGGGGATAGCTGGTCTGGCGCTCCAGAGCCACCAGGGCTTTGGTCTCAGCTCCTTCTATGTCCCCAGGCAGTGACCGACCGCTAGGGGGGATGTGACAGAAGGAAGAAAAACGTCTCACCAGAGATCCAGCCGGCCACAAACGCCTCCACGGACACTGTCTGGCAGGGGCGGGAACTGGTGGCTCCGGAGAGCAGACGCTGGGGAGCGTCTGTCGGTCCCTGATCTCCCTCCCCCTCGCCCACCCGATAACCTTCCACTAAATGTTTAACTTGGCCTGGAGAATGAGCAGTGGCCCGGTGCCCAGAGCTCGGCACCAGGAGAGGGGAGGGAGCCACCTTGGGTGGCCCTGACCCTGGAGGAAGTGTGTACGGAGTGTGAAATCTTCCGGGCAGGGATGATGGCCCGGTGGCCCGCCCCCTGCCGGCCAACGATGGCCTTGCAGCCCTGCAGCGGGACCAGGCAGGGCGGCCAGGCCCCAGCCAGCAAGGCCTTAACTAACCCTGCCTGCCCCACCTGGCCGGCCCAAACCCCCTCCGTCCCCACAGCGCCACCCACCAGGCTGCCGCCCGCCTGGGACAGGCGGCCAGGCCGGCAGAGAGAGAGCATGGCCACCAGGGGCCAGGCCCTGCGCAGTCCCCGCACCCCAGGAACCCCCAGAGCCGACAGGGTGGGACCCCAGAGAGGAGTGACTCCCGGTCCTGAAGCCCTGCCTTCTCCCAGGGTGGTGTGCAGCTCCCCCAGCTCCCTTGTGTGAGTCACAAACAGCCTCCCTCACTCGGCCTTCTCTTCTCCGGGCCTCCCTCCCAGGGGACAAGCTGGGGATTTGCGTGTATAAAGGGTGGCGGGTGTCTCAGCTCTGGGGTTATGAAAGCCCATTTCTCTTTGGACAACAACCCAAGCTGACAAGGCAGGGAGACCTGGCCTGCATCCCTCTCTCTTCCTCTCTGCTTCCTTTGACCAACCTTCTGTGTGGCCTGTACACTGAGCGTGTTAGAGCGTGAATTATGATTCCACTCACCCATCGGCTCCTTACGAGCGGAGTCCGGTTAAATACACTCACTCTTCCCTGTTGTTTTGAAAGTGGTATTTTACATCATTTATAAATTCGTTGCATCTTTTTACAAATCAGATGACGGCTCACGCCCCGTGTTTCTCACACCTGCCTGGTACTTTTCTTTTCCCTGCTCCCGTCCTCTCTCTCTCTGCCTGAGAGGGGCCAATGGACACCAGCAGAGGCAGCAGGGGCTCTGGTGTCGTCCAGACTGGGGTTCCAACCTCAGCTCTGCCCCCACCAGCCCGGCGATCTGTGGCAAAGCACATGCTTCTGAGGTTCTTTTCTCCCATGTCCTTTGGGAGGCTCTGGAGGTCATCCAAGGGGGCTTCTGGGGTGGGGGTGGGGTGGGGATGGGGGTGTTCATGCTCAGGATCATCTCCATTACACTTCAGTGATTCCTAGGCAGTCCCATGGACTTGGAGACAGGATGCGGATGGACGGGGATGCACACGGCGGGGGGTGGTGTAGAGCATCAGGGCAGACCCGAGGATGGGGGCACGGGCAGGCCAAGTGCTGAGGCTGCTGCAAATGATGAGCGTCCGACATTAACAGAGTGTATGGGGGGGAGGCGGGTGCTGATGTAACCTGTTGTCTACATCCACGGCCACAGGCTATTCTGTCAGATTCTCTTCTTAGGCATGCTGAGAAGTGGGGCCGGGGCGGGGTCCTCTTTCCGGGGCACAGAGATCCAGGGCGCAGGTGCCACCGCCCACAGAAATCTGTGTGAAGGCTCCAAATGTGGGTGCCAACCCTTGGAGTCCCCTTGGCCCCCTCCCTCTGTCTCACACCTCACCACCTTCCCCTAAGCAAATTGTGTTAGTATTGCCTTTGAAGCATGTCCCAAATCCCACCCCTCCTCGCCTCCTCCACTGCTACCGCCCTGGCCCAAAGCCACCGTGGCCTCCACCTGGATTCCTGCCGGCCTCCCTGCCTCCGCCCCTGCCCCCTTCCAGTCTGTTCTCCACCTAGTAGCCAAAGTGATGCAGTTGAAATTTAAGTCAGACCATGTCTGTGCTCTGCTCCACACCCTGCAAGGGTCCCCTCCTGCTCAGGGTGAAAACCGAAGTCCTTCCTAGGCTCTAGGAGCCCTCAAGGTGCAGCCCCACAGTCCTTTGACCTCATCTCTGGGCACGCCCTGGTCACTCTGTCCCAGCCACCCTGGCCTCCTTCTCTTCTTCAAACGGGCTCCTGCCTCCAGGCCTTGTTGGCCTGGTCTAGCCTGGATTCAAACGTGTCACCTGCTGGGCATTCCTGGGGCCCCTTCCCTGGCTCCTCCTCTTCTTTCTTCCATGGCACTCGTGACCTGCTGAAGTACCAGTAATTAACTTGTTGTCCGTCTGTGCTGGGATCTCTGGCTGTTTGTTCACTGATGTTATCCCGAAGGCTCAGCACAGCACGTAGCAGAGAATAGGCTCTCATTACATATTTGGTGCAAGAATGAATGAGTGGACCAGCGAGAGAGCAACATTAGCGGGCAGCCCTGCAGCAAGCCCTGGGTCTCCACTTCTCTCTCCCCATCTCCAAAGGGCCCCAAAGAAGGTGAAGTCCCAACAATATCCCTACCTGCCTCTCCTGATCTCGTGGCAACTCTTCGTTCCCCGTCAGATGCCCAAGGACCAATCCCACTCACCCTTCCGCTTTCCCACTGTGGCCAAAGTAGAACCCACGCACCGCTACTTTCTCACGGGCAGACAGGTTTTAGGAAGCAAGGCTCATCTCTGATCTCCTCCTCCTAGAGCCGCCCCGGGCTCCTTGGGCTGCCCCAGCGAACCTTCCTGAGCATGGCTTCTCACCGAGGGCTGGGCTGCAGTCCTCATTCTGCTGCTCACTCTCTCCCAAGGCATAGTGGGCAATCCCTTCTGTGGGCCTTGGGTCCTTTCCTGCTTACAAAAGCAGGAAATCAGCCCAGCTGATGGCTGAGTCTCAGGCCTCTTGGCTCTAAAGGCCTGATGGCCGCCACCCTCACATCAGAATGAGCCCCACTCTCTTCTCTCGTCCCACCCCACCACCCCAGTTCAAGGCAGACCCACAACCCCTCCCTGGAGCCTTGCCAAAGGGCAGCCCCAGCCCGGGCTGGGCTCTCCTGCAAGTCCCACCAGGCCCATCTTCTGCCTGGCAGGGCAGAGCTCTGACCTTGTCCCCCCTAGCTCACAACCTCCAAAACCTCCTCGCCACCTGCCAAACCCACCACACACACACACCCCGTGCCGCCCCATCTCACCTGCTGTGCTCTGACTGCCCAGGGCTTCCCCGGGGTCCTCACCACAGTTCCCCCTACCGGAACACCTTCGGGAATCTCTTCCAGTGCCCCCCCCCCGCCACTGCACCTGGGTTCCAGGCTCCTTACCACCACTGTACCTACTGCCAGATGTTGGCTTTGTGGTTTGACCTTTCCGATCCTGTTTTCTCTACTGCACACCTCCTGGTGTGGTGTAAGAACTAAAGCACTTAGAAAAGAGTCTGGCACATTGTACATACACCATGAACGGCAGCTACTATTACTGTCATTTCCACTCACAGGGACCCCGAGGATGACATGGGGAAACACAGGGAAGGGCCTGGCACACAGTAGGGCTCAGGAATTGAGGACCCTTCTCTTCCTGCTTGTAGTTTTTCGTAGCTCTGAAGGCAATTCTGTCATCTTACGTAGTTTTAAGCATGCATTTCTCGGGGCACCTGGGTGGTGCAGTCGGTTAAGCATCCGACTCTTGGTTTGGGCTCAAGTCATGATCTCAGGGTCCTGGAAGCGAGCCCCGCATCAGGCTCCACGCCAGCGTGAAGTCGGCTTGAGATTCTCTCTCTCCCTCCCCTTTTGCTCCTCCCACTCATGTTGTCTCTCTCTCAAATAAATAAATAAAATCTTTAAAAGAAATTACTTAAAAAATAAAATAACCATGCATTTCTCCTGGCCTTCCTTCTTCCCCCTCTCTACCTCCACTCCCTGATTAAATCATAACTTAGCTTCCTCAGGGCAGGGCAGTGTCTCACCTGGGTCTCTGTCCCCTGCCCTAGGCCAGACCCCACACCCAGTAAGCACTCAACCACACTGAACTGTGTTCCCACTTTGATCCAGCTGGTTAAGGGAGGCCACCAAGCCATTGTGTCCTAGTCTGAGGGTCTCAGAGCTTAGAACCTGGAAGGAGATGCTTGTCTGTTTGTTTGTTTGTTTTGAGAGAGAGAGAGAGCACAAGCAGGGAGAGTGGCAGCAGGCTGAGGGAGAGGGGGAGAAGCAGACCCCTACTGAGCAGGGAGCCCAATGCGCGGGGCTCGATCCCAGGACTCAGGGATCATGACCTGAGCCGAAGGCAGACGCTTAACCAACAGAGCCACCCAGACACCCCTGGAGGAGATGCTTGTTATTGCACACTCTTCTCTCCGGCTCACATCTGAACTTCTTTGAGTCCTTAGTTCATGCAAGGAAGACATGTTGTAATGGGCTCAAGTGTGGGGTAGCATGGATTCTGGAGGGCAGGTAAAGAGCTGTTTATATTGAGGATACTTTGACTGGGTTAGGAGATGGGGCTGCCTTCCAATGCCAGGGAATAAGGGCAGGGTGAGCCCACTTCCCCTCTTGCTCCCCACCCCCATCCCTGATCATCCAGCCCATTGTTGTAGCTAGAACAACTTCTGGTTCTTCTGGCTCAGGAAGGTGCCCCGTGGACCTGTTTTTCTCCCTGAGATCTACACCTCAGGCGTACACATGCTGGCGTTGCCAGGACATGTTGGTGACGTGATCCTGGGATAGGTGGTTTCACACCTGTTTCTTTCCAGCCTGGGAACGGCTCAAGGTCTCCAGACTGTGTGTCTAAGATAGAGAGGGCTCCTGTGACTGCTCCTTGGAAAATCAAGTATGCCTGGCCTGGGTTTCTAGCATATAATTGGAGAGTCGCTGGAAGTCATTGAGTTCAACCTCTTCATTTTACAGATAGGAAACTGGGGCCCCGAGGAGAAGGGGCTTGTCCAGGCTGAGTCCGGCCAGGGATCCCCAGTCTTCTGACCACGGCGAAGAGTCTATCACCCCTCATGGCCCAGGCGCGCCTGCTGTACAGGCTGCTGCCTGGGTCACCTTTACCCGGCACCCAGAACGGTGTGGATCCCTGACACGTCCCAGGAAGCATCTCCCTTTTACAGCTGAGGGGACCGGCCCCAAACCACACGCGAGTGAGCGCCCAGAGCTCGGCCACCATTCTCGACTTCCTTGAACCTTCGCGACACCTTGTTACAGGCCAGTGGGCAGGCCCGTGGGAGGCCACCTGATGGCCGAGGACGTGAGCAAACCCGCGCGGCCACAAGGCGGGGCGTCCCAGGCGTGCGCGGGCCCGCGGGAGGAGTGAGGGCGCGGACGCCGGGCAGAGCGCATGCGCCGCAGCCCCGGGCTCCCATTGGCTCCTGCGGATTGGGAGGCGGGGCCGTGCGCGTCGCGCTTCCTCCGCCCCAGCTTCCGCGTCGCAGCCCGGGGAGCTGGAACCTAAGCGGTTGCTGGAGTCCTGGCCCACTTCGGGGCGGGAGCCGGGGCTGGGGCTCGCGGTCAGACCGGGAGCCTGCGCTGAAGCCGCGGGCATTGACTCCCTGCGAGGTGAGAGCGCGGCGACGCCCTGCGCGGGTCCCCGCCCCGGATGGGAGGGCGCCGTGCCCTGCCCGGGCATCCCGGCCAGCCGAGCTTCGACCCCGCTCCTGACCATCGGCGCCCTGACCCCTCCCACCAGCCTCGACCTCGAGCTGGCTGAAGACCCACTAGTCTGCACACCGGTGCCTCCAACTAACACTGTTCACCTTCGCAGATCAGCCGGGACTCCGCCTTTCTTCAGTGAGAGCTTGAGGGGCTCCCCAACCCTCACATCCCTGGACCCCACAGTAACCGTTCTTTCTCTTTCCCTCTGCAGATGGACGGGACAGAAGGCAATGCTGGGCACCTGGGCCCCGCTGAGCGGTCCCATCGAAGCAGCGTGTCCTCCGTGGGAACCCGAGGTGGGTACCTGTCTCCATCACCTACCCTGCATAGGCAGTTGGAGCCCCAGCCCTGGGGAAGTGGCCCTGGCTCGTCATCTCTTTCATTAGAGAGAATTTTATATATTCATTAACAAATAAGGTCTGTGGAGGTGTGGAGAAGTGATAGAAGACAGAGCAGCTGGGCTCTGTCATTAGGCTGTTGGCCAAGGTGGGTACTGTTTCTCATTTGTAAAAGGCGCATGTCTTGCAGAGCTGTGAAATTCAGATGAAATCTCATGAATGAAAGGTGACACGTTTCCATTCTTTGATTTCTTTCTCACTAACAGCGGCTTGAAAGCAGGGATCATTATTTTCATTTTATAAGGAAGGAAATCGGGCCCTAGAGAGGTTAAGTCACTGGATGCTAGAGCCTTCCCTGCCTCAGATGTCCCTACCTGAAAAGTGAGTCTGAATCACAGCCTCCTGGAGATGATTTTATGGTCTGTCAAGAAAGTAGCGGTTATAGTAGAACAGACTGGAAATCCAAAATGCACTTTCACTTGTGTCAATGATAAACTACGCCTTTGCCTTTCATAGGCCTCACCCCGATTTGATCCACAGCCACGCTTTGAGAGAGGGGTGTTCGCCCTGCTTTACAGATGAGGCAACTGACACTCAGGCTTGCTGAGGTCAGCCTGCTAGCCAGGGCCCAGGCCAGGATTGGGACCCAAGTATATCGGCCTCCAAGCTCGGTCTCCTCCACGGCACCTGCAGCTCGAGGGATGGGGATTTGAATCTGGCTGCTCTTCCAAGGGTCTCCCTTCGGCACCAAGCTCCAAATGAGAATGCCGTGGGCTGTCACAAGTAAACACTGAACTTTTTAGACAGTCCTGAAAGGCCATGGTATTGAGTCCTGAGGCTTGAAGAATCCTATGGAAGCTAAGCCCTGGAAATTGCTTTACCCTGGGGCAGCTTTAGGAATCCTCTATTCCGGTCTTAGCCTGGGCCAGAGAGAGACAGCTACTTGCCTAAGGACAACAGTGAGTTGGCAGCTCTCCTGCCTCCCAGCCTGATACACTAACTCCTATAGTCTCAGAATGGATTGGGCCTGTCTCTGCCTCAGTCCCCACCTGTGGAATGTTCTCTGTCAAGGAAGAAGCCCGGCAGAGTCGTTGGGACTGCCAGGAGAGGGTGCAGTGGCCAGCCTATTTGAACCTTTGCGAGTTAGAATGGGGCTAGGCTGGTCCCTGGGCCAAAGTTGCTGGGTTTCTGGGTGGTTTGAGGATCTCGAGTTAAGTCTTAACAGCACTTTTCACAGCGTCCTTTGGGGCTGCTGGGCCTCTGTCTCTGGACTGTAGCCTTGGTCACCCCAAGGGGTGTAGGGTGGGGGGTAGAGGGTCCCTATGCCTAGGTGGCAGGCCCAGCTGACCCCGCCCAGCCTCCATTGCAGCAGCTGATGTGCTGGTGTACCTGGCGGATGACACAGTGGTGCCCCTGGCCGTGGAGAACCTGCCGTCAGTCAGTGCCCACGAGCTGCACCGGGCTCTCCGTGAGGTCCTGCAGCTCCCGGACATCGCCCTGGATGCCTTCGCACTCTGGCTTGTGTCCCCCCTGCTGGGTAAGGCTTGGCAGTGAGAAGCCCAGGCTGGAGGGTTGGAAGGGCAGTGACCAGGGGCAGGGGAGGAGGTCGCTTCCAGAACCTCTGGCCACTGTGCATCAGGAGAAGGTGGGTCTTGTGTATGGCCTGGAGCTAGCCCCCACTTTTAGGCCCCAGAGCCCCGAGAGGACTCCTGGCTCTTCTGCCCGCACCTTCTTTCTTTCTGCTGGTGGCAAAGGAAGGGTCAAGCCTGCCCCTCAGCCTCAGTGGTGCTGGAGCCTGGGGCATCAGGTGAAGCAGGACTGGGGGACAGGGAAGGAAGGGATCCACATTCACTGAGCATGTGGTCTGTGCCCCAGCCTGAGCTGGCATTTCTTGAGCGGAATTTCTTCTTACCCTAGTGGCCCAGCTCTGTGTTGCAGATGAAGAAGTTGAGGTTTGGAGTGGTGGGTTCAGTGAGTAGTAGGACTCAGAACAGAATGGAAGCAGGAACTGCATCCTGCTCCTTGGGGACAGGGAGGAAGGGGGGGGCCTGGCCCGGGAAGCAGCCACCCCTGAAGGTGGGGAGGGCGGGACAGGTGGGAACCCGCCTTTTCTGCAACCCTGCTTGGCTTCTGGTCCAGGACCATCTGTGTCCTGCCCTTTCAGGCTGAGATCGCAAGGCAGGGTTGGAGCAGGAGTGGGGGCAGGGGAGGTCCCTGGGGCCTCCAAATAGGGCCTCTAACCTGCTGGCTCGCACAGGAAGGGGGTCAAAGGAGAGGAGGCCCCAAGAGGTGCCAGGGCCAGGCATGTCTGCTGAGCTTAAATACTCTCCTTTCTTGTAGAGGAACAGGGGCAAGAAGGGGGTGACTGGTCCCTCGGGACCCCTAGCAGTTACCTCTTTCTTGAGGCCAGTGGGATATGTGCCTCTACCCTAGAGGGGGACCTCTGCCAGCCTAGTAGGAGAGGGAGTGCCCCTCCCATGTGTCTGCGTCCTGTCCGTTCCACCCCCCCCCCCATGGAAGCTTCCTGTACAGCTGCTGCTCTCACCCACCCTCCTCCTGCTGACATGTCTCCTCCACCCATTCCCCACCCAGCCCAGCTGCCCCTTTATCACCCTCCGGGTATTGGTCGGAACTGTGGGCCCCTTGGTTTGTATCTTTGGGAAGCGGGGGGTGGCTGGCCCCCGTGCCGCCTCAGGCTCCCTGTCCCTGCAGCTGGGCCCCTTGTCTCCTCCTCCTGCTTCCTCCGCCCCCACTCCCTTCTCATCACATTCCTGCTCCCCCCTCGCAAGAACATGAATGGGCTGCCTTTGTGGCCGGCAGGGTCACCCTGGGCCACCGCCCTGTCCAGGACAAGGGTGGCTAGAGGCCCCAGCATGAAGTCAGCACCTACTTGGTTCCCAGGCTGGGTTTCAGGAAGCCTGAGAGGCCATTTCAGCCCTGACTCGGGTCCCTCGGAACCCTTGGCTGCCCCCAACCCCGAGTGGGTTAAGCAGTGACAGATGCCCCAGGGCTATCAGGCAGGGACGGCAGCCTGCTGGAGCCGCCTTACAAGCTGGCTGTTTGGGGAGTGTTTATCCTCAGTGCCCTTGTCACTCTGCGTGGAGGAGGCTCCAGGGACCACCAGTCTCGTTGGGTGAAAACCTCCAGGGGAAGGCCCCACCCGAAAGTGTGTGGGACCTCAGGGTCAGGGTCCTGCTGTGATCATGGGAGTCCTCTGAGCTGCTGGGGCTCAGGGTCAGGACTGGGCTGTAGGCAGAAGGAAGGGCACCATTGTCCCGGGTCCACTCTCCTCCTCAGTGTCTCCAGGGGTCCCAGCTCATCAGGGAGAGCCACCTCCAGCACCCCCTTGCTGGCCGGTGATCTAAACGCTGGGGACACAGTGGGAAGCAGGACTGAAAGTGTCCTGCCCTTAGGGACCTCACTGTCTAAAATGCAGTACAGGAGCTCGGATCCTGGTTTAGCCACTAACTCTTGGTGGCCTTGGGCAGGCACTGTCCCTCTTTGGGCTTCAGTTTTCCACCTGTTCCATGGGTGGTCTCTGTGCCCTCTAGCTCTGGCATCCTAGGAGTGTCCAGGCAGAGAGCACACGGAGGCCCCACTGAGTGGCCGGGTCGGTGGGATTGCAAAGGGAGCCTCTCTTGGAGGGGAGAGGACCCTATCGTTGGGGGTGCGTGGCCAGTCCCCCTCCTGGGGAGTGGTGAGGCAGGGGTGGCGACGGTTGGGTGTGGTCAAGGATCTAGGTTGGAAATGAGGGCTGAGGAGCCGCTGGGAAATCTAAATCTGAGAAGCATTGGAGGAGAAGGGGTGTGAGGAAGCCAAATGCAGGGGTGGATGGGAGAGGCTGCCGGCAGGAGGGAGGCCAGTTTGAGGACTGTGGCTACTGTTATTGGTTAGCATCAGGGGCCAGATGGAAGCCCAGAGAACAGAGATGAGGACCTTTGACTTGAGGCTGGCAGCATACGGCACCGGGCCCTCTGGTGGGGGGTCAAGGTGGGAGATGGGGCTCAGAAGCGAGGTCAGAAGGCAGGGGAAGTCAGTTGATGGCACAGATGTTACCATTCCTCGCTCTTTTATCCATAGCAGCCGTACTCATGCATCACTGATGGCTTGGAAATGGCCTCTGACTTCTGAAAGGCCATGGTCCCCGGCACATGAGGTGAAAGCACTTTCTCATTCCTGGCCCAGGGTGTTGAGTCCCGGGGCCAGCTGGCTGCCCAGAGTCAAGGGGCCGGGCGTGAGTGGTACACGTGTGAGGGCCTGTGGCGGGCCAGGGGTACAGCAGTGGATGGGACAAAGCCACTCTTGCCAGAGTGACCTGAGGACTCACTGGCTAGTGGGGCATCGACAGGGAGGTGACATCAGATGGTGGTAAATCCTGTAAAGGCAACCAAATGAGGGTGCAGTTGGCGAGGTGGAAGGTGATGGGGGCGCTGCCTCAGTGAAGGGTCCAGGGAAGGGGACACTAGAACCAAGACCCAAGCCAGCCAGCCATGTGAGGGTCTGGGGAGGGAGCGTGCCTGAGGCAGGAGGAACAGCAAGTGCAAAGGCCCTGAGGCACTGACAGGCTGGGAAGGTTCAAGCAATTGAAGAAGGCCGGTATGGCAGGAGCGGAGTGGGAGAGGGAAACAAGAAGGAAATGAGGTGGGGGAGCTGGATGGCATGGAATGAAGGTCAGCCGGAGGTCAGGCCTGGTGAGGGGGAGGCCCAGGCTGGGTCAGGGGCAGGGGAGGGCAGCCCCTCGGGCCTCTGGGCCTCAGTTACCAGCTTTGGGTTCTGCTTCCTGAGGCCCTGTGGGGTTCGTCTGTACCACCATCCCTGGCACTTTCTATCGGCCACAGCCTGCGCTCCAGCCCACCCTCGGTGCCATAGTCAGAGGCTGGCGCTGCCTGGGGCCCGACCCTCTCTCCCCTGTGTGACTTTGGACAAGTAACTTAACCTCTCTGAGTCTCGTTTCTCCATCCACGTGATACTGTTATCACGGGGCAGATGCATGTAATCCGCTGGAAGTGTTTCTGGAAGCTTACACCTGCTCAGTTAATACTGGCCGTGACAGGGGCGCCCGGGGGGGCTCAGTCGGTTGAGCGACCCACTCTTGGTTTCGGCTCAGGTCGTGACCTCAGGGTCGTGAGATCGAGCGCCGCATCGGGCTCCGCACTCAGTGGGGGATCTGCTTGAGACTCTCTCTCTCTGTCCCTCCCCCCCACCCCCTGCATGTGCGCACGCACGCGCGCTCTCCCTCTCTCTCTCTCTCTGTCTCTCAAATAATAGATAAATAAATCTTAAAAAGAAAAAACCGTCGGCCACGACTGCCGTCCCTGTTGCTGGGTCAGCGGGCGGCAGTCGTCCCGCCGAGGCCACAGACGCAGGCCCTCTCGTCCTGCAGAGGTGCAGCTGAAGCCCAAGCACCAGCCCTACAAGCTGGGCCGCCAGTGGCCCGAACTGCTGCTGCGCTTCACGGACGCCCCCGCCGACCACGTGGCCGTGGGTTAGTGGGGGGGACAGCCCCTCGGGCCCCTCGGCCTCAGTTACCAGCTTTTACAGGTTCCTTGAGGGGAAGCCGGGAGAGGGTGGCTGGGGCGGGGGGGGGGGGACAGCAAGCACGTTGAGATGAGCCAGGCGTCCCACTCTCGGGACGGCCCTCAGGTCCTGTCGGTCGGGGGGAGTGAGGGCCGGGCTGGGCCGGGCAGGGGGGCCAGGCAGTGACACCAGCCTCTCTCCTCAGATGAGCCTTCCCTGCAGTTCCGAAGGAACGTGTTTTTCCCAAAGCGGCGGGAGCTCCAGGTGAGGCCGTGAGCCCCGGGTGGGACCACCCATCCCTGGTGCCCTGTGTCCCTAGACCCCTGGGCGCTGGTGCGCCGACCCAGCTGAGCAGCCCCTCCCTACCGCGCCGGCCCGCAGATCCACGATGAGGAGGTCCTGCGGCTGCTCTACGAGGAGGCCAAAGGCAACGTCCTGGCCGCACGGTACCCGTGTGACCTGGAGGACTGTGAGGCCCTGGGCGCCCTGGTGTGCCGTGTGCAGCTTGGGCCCTACCAGCCGGGCCAGCCCACTGCCTGCACCCTGAGGTGAGGGCCAGTGTGACCCGGGGCAGGGGCCCGGGGTGGGGAGGGCCGCCCCGGAATCCTACTTCCAGGTGATCTTCCAAGATCGAGAGTCAGGAGGCCTCGGCCCTGGGGCTGGCCCTGATGCTGTGTGACCTTGGGCGAGTCACCCCACCTCTCTGAGCCTCCTTGCCCTCATCTGCAGTGGGCCGAGGGGCCTGAGAATTGGGAGGTTTGGGTGAAGTGACATCTGGGAGAGGAGTCCCAGGTGTGTGTGAGGGTGGAGCCCAGCCTCCATCTGAGGTCAGGAGGGGCTTGAGCTCGTTCTTCTGGGGTTGCAGCCGGGACGGAGCACATACTGACCCCCCGTCACCAGTGACAGCCCAGCTTTGTCCCAAACTCCAGGGACGAGGCGCCATTCCTCAGACACCCCAGCACGCTGGCTCTATGCTTCCCACCCCCCCTCAAGAGGCCGCACTCCTCGCTGTGTCAGTTGAATCTGCCCTGGAAGCAGACCAGGCCATCCTCCGACCTCCATGAACCATGATGCTGAGGTTCAGAGATAACCCTGGTGGAGATGAACTTCAGCACAACCTGCTCCTAGACCCACGCCCCGCCCCACCCCAGCACTGCAGGGGACAGTGTGTCGGAGGAGACGATGCGCAGAGACAGGGCCCTGTGCCGGGTGACCAGCAGCCGGGGCCCCACACGGACCACCCCGCTCAGTTGAGCCTCAGGGCTCCCCACCTGGGCTGGTGGCCATAGGAGCCCCAGCCCTGGGGCATGGCTGTTGCCCTTGCAGCTGATAACAAACACAGCCCAAAGCGTTTATGCTCGAGGGACTCTGTCAGCCCGAGCAACGGACAGCCCTCGTTCTCCTAGTGCGGCCCCGTGTCCTCTGGGCCGGCTCGCACTCAGGCAGGCCAGGTAGCCACAAGAGTTGCGTATTGGCAGGGAGAGGCCTCTCCCCTTACACACCAGAGTCCTCAGACTCACGCCGACGTCCCCTTCCCCTGGCTGGAGCCTCAGGTCCACCCGAAGGGGACACCGTGACCAGGGCGCTGATAGGCGGGCCCTGAGCCCGTACAGCCCCCATGGTGGGGGTGGGGAAGGCTGGATTTCCAGATGACAAGTGACAGTTGTGGCTGGAAGAAGGCATGTGGGGGCACAAGCCACGAAAGTGCCCACGGCAGCCCCGAGAAGGGTGGCGGCCCCCTAGACACCCCTCCTCACACCGCCCCACGGTTGGGCCTCGGGCCAGCACGCGTTCCATCCCCGCCTCAGCCCTGCTGCTGGCCGGGCGCCTTTGCCGATGGCCTGGGGCGTTCAGGCAGCAGAACCCCTCCCCTCTGAGGTGAGAATGGCATCCTCAGCGACAGTTGGTGCCAGGCCCGTGCCGCCGCCCTTCCACGCAAGTAGCGGTTAGCGTCCTTGTTTTATCCGCGGGGAACCCCTGAGAAGGTGCTCGCCGCCCCGAGACAGAGCCCCGGCTGCGCTCGGCCCGGGAGCAGCACAGTACCCCGGCTGCCTGCTTCACGGTTGCGTGATTGGAAGCCTTTCCTCCTCGAACCTGTGCTGACGGATTGTGGGTTGGTGGTGGGTTTTGTTTTTGTTTTTGTTTTAATATACCCCTCTTTGGCAGAAAATATGTGGAGAGCTATAGGTCACTTGCTGCACCGTGTTTTCGCTGTCAAAGTTCCACTAGCTCAGAAATCCAAACCTCTCCGAGTCAGTGACACGGGAGCTGCGCTGAAACCCTCCAGCCACGGGCTGGCCGGGAGCCGGGCCTGCTCGCAGCTCCCCTCTTGGTCTCCCGGCCTGCCCTTCAGGCCCCTCGCCCACCAGGCGTGCTGCTGGGCCCGCGGTCCTGGTCCGGGGCCTCGCCTGCCCTTGCCCGGGAGCGTGCCACCCCCCGAAGCCCTCGGCCCCTCTGGCCCGGCCCCCAGCGCCGGAGCCCCTCCTCATGCCAGGCACCCATCTTCCTTCCTCTGCAGGGAGAAGCTGGACTCCTTCCTCCCCGCCCACCTCTGCAAGCGGGGCCACGGGCTCTTTGCTGCCCTCCGGGGCCGAGGGGCCAAGGCGGGGACAGGCGAGGAGGGCCTGCTGAACGCCTACGGCCAAGTGAAGGAAGCGATTGGCAGCGACAGCGAGCATGGGGCCTCCCTGAGCCCCCACTACCGCGCCTACCTCCTCAAGAGCCACGAGCTGCCCTTTTACGGGTGAGCGACTCCCTGGCTGGCGTCCTCACGGGCAGCCGCAGCCCCGGGGGCTCTGCTGTCCCCTCCCCCCGGCAGCCCAGCGGTCTGTCTTGGCCTTTGCCAGCACGGCCTGCCAGGGTGCCCGTCTCTGCGCCAGCCAAGCTCTGTCCTCACGTGAGGTGTGTCTTCGTGCCAGCACCCCGGGCCCCACGGGTACCGAGCTGGACGCCTATCCTTCCCTCGCTCCCGTCACAGGCCAGGCCACCAGACGGGTCCTCTGCTTCCGCCCGCCACAGTCACTGGGTCGGTGGACCCGCTGACCTTCCACTGAGCCGGTTCTCTCTCTCACGCTGTCCACATCGGCTCGGTGGCTCCTGTGTACCTACCGTGGCATTCTGGGCGCTGCCAATGCCTCGGGGGCAGAGAGGCCTGGCCCGTGCCTGGTGAGGCTGACGTTCCGGTGGGAAGGGAGACAGCAGCAGAGGTAGGAACAGACTGCAGGCAGGCAGGCAGGGGGGCAGCCGGGCGACCAGTGGGGACAGCGTGACCGTACTCGGAAGAGGAGCTACGGCTCAGGCCAGGCGGTGATAACGCCAGAGATGTTGAGGGTAGAGTCGACAGAATTTGCGAGACGGATGTGCAGTGGAACGGATGAAGGAGAGGAGAAGGGACTCCAGGAGTCTGGTCCGAGCAACTGGATGATGGCGTTGTCATCAGCCGAGATGGGCCCGGGCCATGGAGCGGGTTGGGGAAGGTTGGGGGTTTGGTTGTGGATGTGTTGATCTTGAGATGCTTGCTAGATACCCAGCTGGCGATTCCGAGCGGACATTCAGGTTTCTGAGTCTAGAGTCGGGTCGTAATTGGTGGGCATCAGCATTTGGGTGGTTTGAAACCTGGAGCCCCAAGACGTGGCCAAGGAGATGAGTGTGGACCAGGCACGAGGAGGACCCGGGCCAGCAAGGCGGGCAGGTGAGTCTACGAGCCAGGCAAAGGGAAGTGTCCTACAAGGGAGTGACCAGGCGTCCCATGCTGCTGCTTCCAGGTCAAGTTCAACATCCCCTGTGAGGCCGATAGTTGACCTTGGCTCCAGCCTCATGGGGGTGGCAATGGGTGGAGGAGAGGGAGAAGAGACCGGAGATAGCGAGTGTGACCAACTCCTTCAGGGGTCAGTGCCATGAAATGGAGTCAAGAGGTGCAGCATTTGTGGCTGGAGTGGGGGCAGAAGGTCTTCAATTTTTATGATGGGTGAAAATGCATGTGTGCAGACAGACGATCGGCGACAAAGTGGGGTAGGTGAGGGCAGGCAAGTGGCTGCCCCGGGTCGCTTCAGGGACTCAGTGAAGTAGGAGTCCCAGCCATTTGCTGACCTTGTAGAGGTCTTGCAGGAGCGGCGACAGGAGTGAGGCTGCTCTTGGGAATGGGAGGTAGCACGTGCATGTCCCCAGGCCCGCCCCGGGGCGAGGGTACAGGCAGTCACAGAGCGGGATTCAGCAAGGGCTCTGGCTGAACCTGGTGCAAGGGGGCGATGGGCCAGGCAGCCATAGGAGGGGGAAGGACACGACAGGGCCATGAGAGGGTGGCAGCTCAGTGAGATGGCATGTCAGGGCCACTGCACCCTGTCCCATCCCCTTCTCGGTGTCGAGCCCGAAGCCTCCCGGGGTGCTCCTTCATGGGCCCCCCACACAGGGGCAGCTGGACCCCACTGCTCCTGAAGGGTCGTGGCCTGACAGGCATGGGCCACGGGGCTCTCCCCACCCTGACATAGCCTGGCCGCCTCCCGCAGCCTCAGCCTGAGTCCCGGGGCTCCAGGCCGTTCCCCGAACATAACTTGCTGTCCCACACCCGGGCTCATGCTCTTCCCTCCATCTGCAGTGCCCACCCTTCTCTGTGCCCCTCAGTTCCTCCCCCTGCCTGTTCAAACCTTCCTGTCCTGCGTGACCAGCGCAGCTGCCACCACCTCCAGGAAGCCTCCCTCCCACTCCCCTCTCAGTTTTCGTTCACCCTTCAGTCACCAAAACAGCTTAAACTTCTCATGTGCCCAGGACAGGGCCTGGCCAGAGCACTGTGGTGATGGAGCCCAGACCCTGGACCGTCTGTTCTTGGTGCCCGAGGTGACAGGCTAACGGCAGTTCCCCTCCCCAGGTGCGCCTTCTTCCATGGCGAGGTTGACAAGCCGACCCAGGGCTTTTTGCACCGGGGTGGGCGGAAGCCAGTGGCTGTGGCCATCAGTCTGGAAGGCGTGCACGTCATTGACAGCAGGGAGAAGGTACCTCCAGCTCCTCCAGGGTGGGACCTGGGTGGGGGGCAGGGGGCTTCACTGGAGAGGGAGGAGGGCCCTTAACCCAGGCCTTCCTGGTTCTCCTGGGCCCGTGGTTGGCCTGGAGGCAGACTAGATGGCTCATCTGGCCCCCCTCCCTCCGATGTCCTGGGGCTTCCGGTATCATCCGGGAGCTTCCTTGAGGTCTGCTCTAGATCAGCTTCTCTGCCTAGCAGGCTGAAGCAGGAGGGTGACTGGGGCAGGGGGAGGCTGCAGCTGGGATTAACCCTGTGAGTGGAGGGAATCTGGCATGGCCTGGCCGCTCTGTTGGACCAATGGCTAGAGACTCGCTATTGGTTTTCCAGAAAAGCCTCACAACTAGAAGCCCTCCTTGATTGCCTGAGTCCTGCTTCTCCCCGCCCCCTACCCACCGCCCCATGTTTGGCGCAGGCTCTCTCTTGGTTCCCTATGTAGAAGGTCGCATCCGCATCCCGCCCTGTGGGGTGATTTGCACTTGGGCAGGAATCTCTCCTAAGCCAGCGGGCAAGTGTTGGGTGACTGCTGCTTGTCCCCAGAGTGGGACCTCAGCCCCTCCTGGGCACCTGTGCCCAAACATGCTGGGCCCAGAGCCCAGCTCAGCCTCCTGCTGAGATGCTACTCAGCTGAGCTCCTGGAGAAGGTTGCCCCTCCCACCTGTCGCGGCCCCCCGTGTGACTGCCCCAGCTGTCAGGGGCTTGGCCCGCTGGTGAGAAGTGTGGCAGCTTAGGAGCTGTCACCTCCCCAGACCACAGTCCCCTGTGAGGGTGTGATGAAAGCAGGGACGCCTCGGAGAGACTCACACAGGAATTTAGATTCAGCCTTAGAGGTAAATAGCCTGGCCAGGTGTCCCCTCCTGGTGGCACCTGAGCAGGACAGGGTAGAGGAATGGACTCCGCTCACCCGAATCCAAGCTCTGCGTCTCCCTCTGGGCAGCACGTTCTGCTGGGCCTGCGCTTCCAGGAGCTGTCGTGGGACCACACCTCCCCCGAGGAGGAGGAGTCTGTCCTGTGGCTAGAGTTTGATGGGGACAACGAGGGCACACCGGTCAACAAGCTCCTCAAGATCTACTCCAAGCAGGTAGTGGGCGTTGCCGGCACTGGGGTGGGGTGGGGGCAGGGTAGCTGGGCGCAGGGCGCCCCAGACTCTTGGAGGCTCCAGGCTGGCTGACGAGGAGGTGAGAGGGCTGCTGAGGGCCTGGGGACCGGGGAGGGGCTGACACCAGCTGACCTGGAGCCACCCTTGTGAGTCAGAAGGCCTGGTTTGGTGCCTCCCTGGGCTTCCCGGCGCTCTGTGACCAGCCCGCACTGGCTCTCTGTCCGAGGCCCCCTGGGAGTTGGGTGCTCTCGGAGCAGGGCAGGCAGGGTAGGGCAAAGGCCCCAGAGGGCCTTTGTTTCATGGCCTTTACTCAGCGCCCACCCCTGGCCCTCCTGCTCCCGCCCTGGTCATGGCACAGGCCTCCCTCCCACACCTTGTCCTTCCCGCTCGGCACTGACACTGGTTGGGATTCCTGCCCCTGAAAGCACACCTCTGCCCCGGCCGCCATCTGGGGCACCCTAGATCCCTTTTTTAAAGTAAATATTTTATTGAATTATACATAGAGACAAGCGCCCAAATCCTAAGTGTATAGCTCAACAGGTTTTCCCAAAATAAACCTATGTAACACCTTTCAGGCTGCGAAATAGAACCAGGACCCCAGGAGACCCCTCAAGCCCCCTCCCAGGCCTTCCGTCCCCCCCACGAGGGGACCCCCATCCTGACTTGTTTCACCTGGAGTCGTTCTGGCTGGTTTTGAACCTTCTGGCAGCAGGGTGTTCTCTTCTGTCTGGTCCGTTCCGCTCTGTCCTCGCCCGGGTAGGAGCGGCTCGATCTTTCGAGATGCTCTCTGGTCTTCCAGCATCCAGATTCGCCAGTCTTGACTTCCACGTTCCATCACTGAGGGACACCTGGGTTTCCGGTTTGGGACCGTTGCCAGCAACACTGCCACGGTCACACGTGTCCTTCGTGCCCGTGTGCAGGAGCGGAAGGGCCAGCTGTCCCCCGCGGTCATGCCCCTGTGAGCCTGCCCCGCATCCGCTTAGCCGCTCTGGAGGGGGAGTCGCGCGATCTCCTGATGTTTTTTTCCTTTATTTTTCAGTCCGTTGTACTGAGGTATAATTTACAGTCAGCACCCGTTTTAGCAGTAAGTTCTGACACATCGACGTGCCCGTGTAACCAGCACAGTCGGGCGACGGAGCAGCTCATTTGCTAAGCTGGTATCTTCCCAGACCTGACACGTCTGTTTACACCTTTCGTCTGTTTTTTATTGGAGTAACTTGCATCGCCCCCCAAATCTCCGCATGGCTTTTGTTGCCATCTCCCCCCTGCCTGATGACGTTGAGCAGCTTTTATGTATTTCCTTGCCATCTGGAGATCCTGTCTGTTGAAGTCTTTGCCAGTTTTTCTTTGGGGTTGTCTTTTTTTTTTTTTTTTATTCATCGTTTTGTACATTTCTTATTGCTTTCAGAGTCATGCCCCACCAAGGCATCAAGTAGCCTCCCCTTAGCTCTCCCTAGAGTTTCGCTTTCTCCAGAGCAAAATAAATACACTCAGCTTGGGGCACCTGGGTGGCTCAGTCATTAAGCGTCTGCCTTCGGCTCAGGTTATGGTCCCAGGGTCCTGGGATCGAGCCCCGCATCGGGCTCCCTGCTCGGC